TAGATCTAGATCTAATGTAGATGTACATGATGAATAATTACAAGCAAGCATAGAATAACCATTCCTTTCTTTTTAAAAAAATTCTTCCACTCACACCAGAATCTACTCTTAAATATCTAGATCCACATTAGATAAAGAAAAATACATGTGTATAGTCTAGTATTTAGTAACCCATCATCATCATGCCCATATCATGTAGATCATTATGGGAACGATAGATCTAGACATCTAATGGGCCTGTCTGTTCTCAGTGTCATTGGGAATAGTTTCTTGGCCTCATCCCAGTGACACTGGGAACAATTCTGGCCTATTCCTAGTGCTTTCCAAAATTAACACCCTTAGCCTAAAACTAAAGATGGGATACCTGGGTGTGACAAATGAGATCCAAAATCAACTTAATGTAGTAACTCTGTAGTAACACATCATATTATTTATGGCCGGATGACAGCAGTTTTACTTTTAAGGACTGTTCACAAATGACCCCACCCCTCTTGTCATCTTTCCCAGGACACCCCCCCCCCCCCCTCAAGTTGCCTAAATGTACACGTGTGTACCTTTAGATAGAACCTGTACAGGGTGCATTTTATATTTGCACCTTTGATCTTTTTTTAAAAAATTGTTTATTAATTTAAAGAATACAATAATAGTGGCGCTGCCCCTGCTTGCACTGGAACCCGATCGACTGGTACACACATAAACAGCACTCAAGGGGTCTGTTTGGCCAATTTTGGTGGATCGGGTCACCACAAATTTTGTGTTATTAGTACTTTCATACTCTTTCTTTCAGAGCCTCTGTGAACTCTGAAAAGCTCTTAAACTTGGCTCCCACTTCCATGCTGAATAGATCTAGAAAAACTAGAACTAGGTGTTGAGTAATTTCAGATTTGCGATGCAATAGCCTTGGGGCCAACAGAACGCTACTGGCAAGGTTCCCTCAGGGCTCTGTTTTGAAAAATGAAAATGCCACGCAGGTAAGCTTATTATATAGGCCAAGACCGACTAGTTTCGCGGACACCCGGTGCGAATAATACTAATACTTATGCGCACACCCGGTGCGAAAAATATTAATACTTATGCGCACACCAGGTGCGAATAACCACTTCCAAAAAAAATAGGCCTACCGAATAGTAAATAAATTGGCCGTCGTTATTCGGACTCGAGTCCGAATAACATTTTTTCATACTCGGACTCGAGTCCGAATAAAAAAAATTCTTATTCGGACTCGAGTCCGAATAACATTTTTTCATATTCGGACTCGAGTCTGAATAAAAAAATTTCTTATTCGGATTCGAGTCCGAATATGAAAAAATGTTATTCGGACTCGGGTCCGGAAAAAAGGAAGTGTCTTCGTTCTATAGATCTAACGTTCAGTGCTTCCAATTTTCCGCCATTTTTTAGTTTCCCCCACACCTTATCTGCCGATCCAATGCCCGCCGCCTCATTGATACGCCCCCCCCCCACCCACGTTTCCCACTTTCTTTGTTGTAGAAAAAGGTAGAATTGAAGATTAGCAGACCACCTGGCACCTGCATATTATGAGCTGTATAAAAAAAAAAAGACAGATTCGTTCAAATACACAAGCCTGTGTCATCTCGATTGTTTACCAAGAAAAAGTTGTGTTGCTGTGTAGAGCTGAGCATATGGCAACTTTTGATTCCATAGACCAGCGCACAATTCATTACGTAGATCTACGTCAAGACAAGCTTATTATTGTAATAATGATCAGTTGCCGAGGGGAAAAAGACTGACGCGTATGCGACGTTCAAAGCCCGGACCGATAGTGCCCCCCCCCCCCCCCACCCTCCCCGACACGCACACAGCCACACGTGTGCAGGCCGCCCATCCAACCCCGACACACGCTAACGAGCCATCTTTAATTGCCAGAACTGATAACCTCTTGACAAATAAACATTTTTATTAGAAGCGCTCTAACTTTTCAGGCCGGCCTCAAATTCATCATAAGATTAAAACTCGGCTCCTGCACAAAACGCCTTTTTGCCCGAAGTGATCCCGGTCTCTACCCAGCCTGAGGCGAGTCACGTGTGAGGCAGGACAGGAAGCCGGATTCACGAGTCTCAGGAAGTCGGAAGTGATGTCATGCTGGACAAGAATCAGAGTCCGAATAACATTTTTTCATATTCGGACTCGAGTCCGAATAATCACTTCGAAATAAATTTTTAGTTTGCAGTACCTAAAGTATAGTATTTGTATTTCAAATTTGAGACGAAACCAGGTGCTTGCCTTAATGACAGCGCATGTATTTTAAACCAAAATAATTACTATTAAATGAGACCTGTTTTCTAATGTTAATAGGGCCTAAGTACGGCTAGACTGGCAGAAGAACGGCTAGACTTCTTGGTTAGCCGTACTTAAGGACGGCTAGACAATAAGGCGATAAGGCTAGAAATCTAGATCTAGCCGTACTTATTAATTATCAATGGCTGAATTGTAAATGAGGTTTTTAGTTTGCAATGCCTGAACTATTCTACAGAATTCTACAATTTTTCTGTTATCACAGTGTAGAATTCGGTGCTTTTTCGGTAGTTCCCACCCCCCCTTTATTTTGAGCCTGACCTACATCGAGATCTATACGTTTGATGCGAGCTAAGATATCAAACCTAACAAGTGCAAAACATCAATTTATGGTAAAATTCAGGGGGGCATGCCCCTCTGAAACCCCCAACCACATTTTTATTAGGACAGGGGGGCACCTCTGAAACCCCCAACCACATTTTTATTAGGACAGGGGGGCATGCCCCTCTGAAACCCCCAACCACATTTTTATTAGGACAGGGGGGCAAGCCCTACTGAAACCCCCCTCTCTTGAGGCCTAAACCGGCTAGTAACAATTGCGGGGTGGGAACTACCGATTAAGCGCCTAGAATTCTGTGGTTCAGGGTGAACGCAAAATTATTTGGCCTAGATATTTTAGATCTATATCTAGATCTAGATCTAGATCTAAATAGGCTATAACGGTGAACGCACACCGGGTGAGAATAGCCAAAAGACTCACCTGCGCTATTCTCACCCGGGCCGGGGTGAGAATAGAGGTGGCCGCCTAGGGTCAAGAAAGTGGCTATTCTCACCCGCCCGGAAGTTCTCGCAAGATCAACTCCTCCCCTCTTCTCTCTCTCTCTGTCTCTTTCTGAATACTGTCTATCGGTGTGGACGATCAAATTGACCAAAACAAAGTTAAAAAATGATGTTAAAACACAAAAGTAAATTAATTTGGTTGTCTACAAAGATGCTACGGCTATTTAACTTTTTGAATCGAGCCGAACTACGCGGATCGCCATTTTGTTTTGACCGGAAATTCTCGCGCTACTCCTCTCTCTCTTTTTCTCTCTCTCTCTCCACTGCCCACAGACAAAATTGTACGCTTTTAGTAGGCTACAGTTGTAATGGAACGTTTGTTCACGGCACAGAATTCTACAATTTTTCTGTTATCACAGTGTAGAATTCTGTGGTTTAGGGTGAACGAAAAATTTGGTGAACGCGCACCGGGTGAGAAAAGCCACAAGACTCGCCTGCACTATTGTCACTCCGGGTGAGACTAGATCTAGATCTAGATCTAGATCTAGATATCTAGATCTAGATCTAGATATAGATCTAGATCTATATCTAGATCTAGAATCTAGACATCTTAGTACTAGTACGGCTAGTCACTTCGTATAATTCTAGATCTAGATCTAGATCTAGATATAGATTAGATCTAGATCTAGATCTAGACAGATCTAGATCTAGATCTATCGGCGCTTTTTCGGTAGTTCCCACCCCCCCTTATTTGATAGAGCCTGACCTACATCTAGACCTAGAAATCTATATATACGTTTGATTCGCGGCACGGGCAAGCTAAGATGTCAAACCTAACAACTGCAAAACATTAAATTGTGGTAAAATTCTAGATCTATACATAACCACCAAGCCAACAACTAAAAAAGTGAAAGCTGCCATACCAATATATATATGGATTACGAATAATCACAACAACAAATTATTTCTTGTGCTTTATAAACTTCTTGCGTTGCGGCAACTCCTCCATTGTCTTCCA